CTGTTGTGATAAAATGCTTCTTCTAATTATATGGTTATTAAATAAATAATTTTTTAAAAATGGGTCTATTAACATTTTAAAAGGGAAAATAAAGGTTGACAAGAGAATTGTTTTGTTATATAAAGAAATCTTAAAATAATTCTTCAATAAGACAAAACATGAAGAATTTTCTTTACAGGCATTTTCAGGTCACTTTGGATTGAGTGGGAAGTTTGAAGCTTTCTATTACTGTAAGCACACTGTATTACACACACATGCCACAGATGCCACAGTGCATATATGAAGGCTAGAGGCCAACTTGTGGGAGTCAGCTCTCTCTTTCTACCATGTAAGTCATAGTGATCAAACTCAGGTCCTCAGGCTTAGCAACAAGGCACCTTTAGCCACTGAGATTACCTGCCAGGAGTGATGATATTCTAAGACATTGCTTATCTCCCTTTGACTATCAGACTTGGAAAAATGAACACCAGTGATTTAGAATTTCCCCAGGAATCCCATGCACCCTGGGGTTAGAGGAAGAAAAAGGCTGAAGCCTGGTGCCAGCCAGGGAGGGAGCATGTCTCCAGGAAGAAATTTCACAATGGTCTAACAGCTTTGCAGACCCCTTTGCAGGATAGACTGGATGGGTCAGTGATGGGAATGACCATACTTTGACCAGAATGGCTTAGCTATGTCCTCTATTTATAAAACTCATACTAGGACCCAAAGATGAGTCTAGGGGTTCACTGGACCTCTTTGTTCCTCTTTCCAATGTGGCCACATTGAATACATCTTTCTCTGTTTTTTATTATTACATGTCTTTCTGATTGGCATTTTGGGGACAGGTGGCCAAGCCTAGGTTGTTGGGGCTGCCAGGGTCAAGGCACCTTAACAATTCCTGTAACATTACCTCTTCTGGTACTTAAATTTGTAAACATCAGGACTGAGATGGTTCAGCCGGTAAGGTAGAAGGACCTGAGTTCACATTCCCAGCATCCACATAAAAAGCTGAGAACAGTATATATACCTGAAATCCCAGAGCTAGGGAGGCTCAGACAAGCCTAATTTAATCGGCAAGCTCCCCAATCACTGAGATACCCTGGCTCAAAATAACACGGAGAGCAATTGAGAAAGACACCAGAAGTCTACCTTTGGCCTCCACATATACATGCATTATACATACACACATACCCCTAATTTTATTTTTCAAGATTACACCGGTGAACCATGTTCTGGTTTCACTATCCTAGATAAATCGGTTAAATATTATGTGGCTAATCACTTCCCATTTTACAACCTCAGCTGTGATTATAAAGCCAGGATTTCTTCCACATGCTTGGTACAATTCTTTGAACATGGAGGTGCCTTGGGCAGCACTCCTTTTGAGTACTGTCCTCCTGAGTCTTTCAAGCCAGGGGTTCAACTGGGAACCTGACAGAAATTTCATTTCAGCTGCTGGTCCTCTAACAAATGACTTGGTACTTAATCTGAGCCATTCTTTAGGAAACCAGGGATCTGATTTGGCATCTGAGAGCAATGACATTTATGTCTGCCAGCAGCCATTGCCCTCTTTCCTGCCACAGTACTTCAGCAGTCTTCATGCCAGTGAGGTTTCCCATTACAAAGTATTTCTGTCGTGGGCACAACTTCTCCCAACAGGAAGCTCTGGGAATCCAGACCAGGAAGCAGTGAGGTGCTACGTGCAACTCCTGCAGGCCCTGAAGGCCGCCCAGCTTCAGCCCATGGTGGTCCTGCACCACCAGATCCTACCTGCCAGCACTGCCCAGAGAGATTGGGCCTTCACTGACCTCTTTGCCGACTACGCTGAATTCGCCTTTCAGTCCTTCGGAGACCTCATTGACATCTGGTTCACCTTCAGTGACTTGGAGAACGTGATCATGGATCTTCCCCCCCAGGAATCAAAAGCATTCCGTCTTCAGACCCTTGGCGATGCCCACAGGAAAGCCTTTGACATTTACCATAGAAAATATGCTTCTCAGGGTGAGTATATGTTAACCTGATATCCAACTTCAAGCAGCCTGTACCACTCCCTTCTCCTTACCTCCTTCAGCTGGACCTAATGTTTCCTCACACCTGTTCCCTTCCAGGAGACCCTTCAGATCTATGCATTACTGAGATCAGTAAATCAGTAGTGTAAAGGTGTCCCAAGAGGGACACATAAAATTACATAATGGCCAGCATTTTCTCTGAAGCTTTTTGTCTTTTCTGAGACAGGGTCTCCCTATAGCCCCAGCTGTCCTGGATCTCACTATGTAGACCAGGCTGGCCTTGAACTCACAGAGATCTGCCAGCCTCTGCTTCCTGAGTGCTGGGATTAAATGTATGTGCCAAAACACCCAGCTCCAAAACTTTTTTTAAAAATAGGGTCTCAGGTAGGCAGAAGATGACCTTAAATTCTTGATCCTTTTGCTTTCACCTCCCAAGTGCTGAGGTGACCAGCATGTGCCACCATACCCAGTTTTCTGTAGTTCTAGAGATCAAACCCAGGGCTTATGCATGCTAAGCAAGCACTCTTAACAACTAAGCCACACCCCCAGCTCCTGAAAAATACCTTTGAAACCCCCTGGACAGTACTGTCTGTCTCTGTCTTTCCCTTCCCAGAGATCACTGTTTCCATCATTCTCCCAAGGATTCATGATTGCCTTTGCTTCTCCCTCAGCCTCCATTTTCTTATGAAAACAAGCTTATGCCTTGGAGTTGGCGTTTGTATTCCATCAGAGAGGCAAATACAAGATATATAATATGCTGAGGGATAATTAGAAGATTAATTTGTGAATGTGTGGTGCTGAGGATTAAGCCCAGGGCCTTGTACATACTAAGCAAGTGCTCTCCCACTGAGCTATGGCCCCATCTCATATTAATTTTCCCTTTTACAAATTATGTTGCAATGACCATTCCTGTGTATGTGACTATGTCCACCTTCTGCTAAATTCCTTTTGATAGGGTCTTCAAATTGAAATTAAACAGATGTGGTGATGCATCTGCTGCTCTTCCAGAGGACCTGAGTTCAATTCTTAACTCACTTTAGGAAGCATTCTACCATCTGTAACTCCAGCACTAGGGGATCTGATGCCCTCTTCTGGCCTCTGAGTGCACTTTTACACACATAGCAGATACACAGGCACATACACATTTGCATGAAGCAGATGTAGGTGGATTTCTATGAGTTCGAGATCTTCTACACAGTGAGTTCCACGCTAGTTAGGGATACATAGTGAGACCCTATCTCAAAAAAAATTTAAGTAAATAAATAAATAAGTCTTTTAAAAAACTGAGCAAGAGCCAACCACAGTGATACATGCCTTTGATCCTAAAATTCAGGAGACAGACAGGTGGCTCTCTGTGAGATCGAGGCCAGCCTGGTCACATAGTGAGTTCCAGGCCAGCTGGAGGTACAGGGAAATCCTACCTCAAAAAATTTAAGTGAAATAAAATTAAAATAAATAGCAAAAAAGGATGCAGATAAAAGTGCTTGCCTTGCAAAACCAACAGCCTGAGTTTAATCCATGGTACTCTCAGGGGAAGGAGAGAACTGACTGTAGACTGTTGTCCTCTGACCTGCACAAGCATTCACCAGCATCAATACACCCCTCTCTCACATACACACAAATAATAATAATAATAATATAATAAATTAATAAAAAAATTAATGAAAAATACTTTTTAAAAAATATTTTATTATTTTTATTTTATGTGTACGAGTGTATTGCCTGCATGTATATCAGTGCACCTGTATCGTGCAATAACACGGACGTCAGAAGAGGGCTTCAGATTCCCCTGGAACTGGAGTTAAGGACAGTTCATAGCCTCCATGTAGGTGCTGGGAATTGAACCCGGGTCCATTGCAAGAGCAGTCAGTGCTCTTAACCGCTGAGCATCTCCAGCCCTGAAAAATACTTTAAAATTTTATTATTTTTAATTTATGTGTGTGAGTATTATGCCTGCATGTATGTAAGTGCACTCGTGTTGTACAATGCCCAAGGAGGACAGAAGAGGCTGTCAGAACCCCTGGAACTGGAGTTACAGACGGTTGTTAGCTGCCATGTGGGTGTTGGGAATTGAACCCAGCTCTTCTCCAAGAACAGTCAGTGTTCTTAACCACTGAATCATCTCTCCAGCCTCATGAAAAATACTTTTAAAGTGAGCATATGGCTGGGGTGTAGCTCAGTTGGTAGAGTACTTGTTCCGTATACAAGAGGCACTGGGTTCCATCCTCACCACTGCATAAACCAGCACGGTAACATATGCCTATAATCCCAACACTGCAGCAGTGGATCAGAAGTTCAAGGCCCTGACTCAAAAATTAGTTAATTAATTAAAATAACACAAATAAGATGGGCATGGTGGTACATACCTTTAATTCCATCACTCAGGAAGCAGAGGCAGAGGCAGGCTGATCCCTGTGATATTGAGGCCAACCCCATCTACATATATAGCCAGTTCCAGACCACCTAGGACAAGAAGACTCTGTTTCAAAACAAAACCCAAAAATCAAAAACAAAAAGCAACAACAACAACAAAAAATAACATAAGTAGGATGAGCAATAAAGGCTGAGGATAGAGTTCAGGCGGGAGAGTGCTTATCTATCTACATGGAGCTCTGGGTTCCATTCCCAGCACTGTGTGCGCCACCTGTAACCCCAGCACTCAGGAGGTGAGACAGGAAGAATGAAAGTTCAAGATCGCTCAAGGCTAGCCTGGGCTACATGAGACATGGTCTCAAAGAGGGAGGGAGGGAGGGAGGGAGGGAAGGAAGGAAGGAAGGAAAAAGAACCCCTAACAGCAATAGAAAGCAAGAGCTGGACATGGTGGCACATGTCTGTAATTTCAGCACTTGGGATATTAAGGCAAGAGGATTGTGATTTTAAGGCCAGCCTGGGTTACATAGCAAGTTCCAGGCCAGCCTGGGTTATACAGTGAGGCCTTGTCTCAACCTCCACCCCCCACCCCCATAAAGGGGCTAAGGACTCAAGTAGACACTCTCCAAAGAAGATATCCAAATGGCCAAAAGCACAAGAAGCATCAGTAACCATTAGAGAGCCTATTAGGTTGGAGGGGGGGAGAGAGAGAGAGGGAGAGAGAGAGGGAGAGAGAGAGAGAGAGAGAGAGAGAGAGAGAGAGAGAGAGAGAGAGAGAGAGAGAGAGAGAGAGAGAGAGAGAGAGAGAGAGAGAGAGAGAGAGAGAGAGAGAGAGAGAGAGAGAGAGAGAGAGAGAGAGAGAGAGAGAGAGAGAGAGAGAGAGAGAGAGAGAGAGAGAGAGAGAGAGAGAGAGAGAGAGAGAGAGAGAGAGAGAGAGAGAGAGAGAGAGAGAGAGAGAGAGAGAGAGAGAGAGAGAGAGAGAGAGAGAGAGAGAGAGAGAGAGAGAGAGAGAGAGAGAGAGAGAGAGAGAGAGAGAGAGAGAGAGAGAGAGAGAGAGAGAGAGAGAGAGAGAGAGAGAGAGGGAGAGAGAGAGGAAGAGAGAGGGAGAGAGGGAGAGAGAGAGGGAGAGAGGGAGAGAGAAAGAGAGGGGGAGAGAGAGGGACAGAGAGGAAGAGAGAGGGGGAGAGAGAGAGGGAGAGAGAGGGAGAGAGAGGGGGAGAGAGAGAGGGAGAGAGAGGGAGAGAGGGAGAAAGAGGGAAAGAGAGGGGGAGAGAGAGAGGGAGAGAGAGAGGGAGAGAGGGAGAGAGAGAGAGAGAATATATTAACATTGAGGAGGATGTGAAGGAATTGCAGTGCTGTGCATTACCGAAGAGTGTAAATGGAATACACTGTGGAAGAAGAGCGAGCGCTCCTCTGGCAGGAAGCACAGATGCACACCCAGGCCCAGGACGCACTCCAAGCTAACACTGGGGACCCCCACCCCACTGCCCACAATGGTGACTTGAAGAATTGCCGCTGGCAGCCCAGTATTAAGTTGTCCATTTGGAAGGTGAAACACAGACTGGGAACATACACTCCCATCCCTGTGTGCTGATGCAATGATGATCAGCTGAGGTGTAGAAATCTGAAGGTGATAACATGGCCCCATTGGGTCACTCGCTGACTAACTAGAAACAGGGTTATCTTATCAGAATGAGGACTACCTTGCACAGAATTCCCTACTCAGAACTTTTCACATTTCCTCTGTGCTTAGCAGAATAAGTACTGGGGTCAGGGGTGCAGCTCAGTGGTAGAGTACTTACAGTTTGTGTAAGGCCCTGGGGTCAATCCCCAGCACCACCACAAAGAAGAGCATCACTGTTGTGATGGGTGGTAGCTGGGAGTATCTTCCTCCTACATGAATCCCAGAGAGACATATATAATCCTATAGTTCAAGTTGCAAACTGGTGGTATCAATTTTTGTATGTTTCCAAGTCACAGGTTGAGCACCTTCTTATTGTGGATCCAATCCTAAATCAGATGCTTGAAAGGATTAAAGTAGTATTTAAGTTTTGTGTTTGTGCATTCATGAGTGTGTAGGTACGTGTGTACAGGTGCATGTGTATGCACATGTATGTGATAACCAGAGGGAAATTTTTGGTATTATTCCTTAAAACACTATTTTCCTTTTTTTTTTTTTTTTTTTGGTCTTTTTTTGAGACAGGGTCTCCCTGTAGCCCCAGCTGTCCTAGAATTCACTATGTAGACCAGGCTGGCCTTGAACTCAGAGAGATCTGCCTGCCTCTGCCTCCTGAGTACTGGGATTAAAGGCATGTGTCACCATGCCCGGCTTATTTTCCTTTTTGAAAAATTCTCATTTTGGGGACTTGAAGATGGCTTAGCAGTTATAAGTAGTGGCTGCTTTTGGAAAAGATCCAAGTTCTGTTCCTAGCATGCACATGGAGGCTAACAACTATCCTTAACTATAGTTCCAGGTGATCCGATGCCCCCTCTGACCCAGTGGATTTGCACGTGGTACAATTAGATACATGCAAAAAAAAAAACCCCACTTTTATACATTAAATAGATTGATTAATTAATTAATTAATAATTAAATTCTTGTTTTAGGGACTGGAGAAATGGCTCAGTAGTTAAGAGCAGGAACTGTTGATCCAGAGGACCAGAGTTTGGTTCCCAGCAACCACATCGGGCAGCTTATAACACCAGAAACTTTAGTTTAAGGGGGATCAAATGCCTCACATGCACATAGCCACACAACACACACACATATACACATAACTAAAATAAAAATGCTGGGCGTGGTGACTCACACCTTTAATCCCAGCACTTGGGAGGCAGAGGCAGGTGGATCTTTGTGAGTTAGTTCAAGGCCAGCCTGGTCTACATAGTGAGTTCCAGGACAGCTGGGGCTACAAGGAGACCCTGTCTCAAAAAAGACAATAAATAAATAAATAAATAAATAAATAAATAAATAAATAAATAAAGACATGGTAATACATGCCTTTAATCCCAGCACTTGGGAGGCAGAGGTAGGAGGATCTCTGTGAGATCAAGGCCAACCTGGTCTACATATTGAGTTTCAGGCCAGCTGAGGTCACAGGGAGACCCCATCACAAAATAAATAAATAGATAATTCTTTTTTTTTTTTTTTTTGGTCTTTTTGAGACCATGCCTGGCCTAGATAATTCTTACTTTATTATTCTCTGTCTCTGTCTCTGTCTCTGTCTCTCTCTCTCTCTTCTTTCTGTCTCTCTCTCTCACTCTGTTTATGTGCAGACAGATGGATACCATAGTGCATGTGTGGAGGTCAGAGGACTTTTCTCTCCTTTCACCTTGGGTTCTAAGATTGAACTTGGCACCTCAGGCTTGCATGATAAGTGCTTTTACCCACTGAGCCATCTCACCAGCCTAACAACTCATTTTTTGAGGTAGAGTCTCTTGTTGGCCTGGAAATCACCAACTAGGCCAATCTATCTCTGCCTCCTCTGTGCTGGGATTACCATCACATGCTGCCACCCCAGCTTTTTGGCGTGGATTCAGGTGACTGAACTCAAGTCCTCTTGCTTGTGTGGCAAGCACTTCACCAACTGAGCCATTTCCCCAGCTCTAGAATTTAAGATTTTCTTCTCAAGGAACATACACAATGTATGGGATGGATTTGTGTGCCAGTTAGACAGCAAGGCAGCACAACTGAAAAATCCCGGCCTTCTCCACTGCAGTGTTTCTCAGAGCAGTCTGAGGACCACAGCATCAGAATCACACAGAAAGCTTGTGTTAAGGGGCATGTTCCCAGCTGGGGATATAGCTCAGCCTGTAGAATGTCAAGCCTTCAAGACTCCCTAGGTTGGCTCCCCAGCACTATATAAACCAGGCATGGTGGTGCTGTAATGCCAACACTCAGTGGTTCAGAAGTTCAAGGTCATCCTTGGCTCCCTGGGGAGTTTAAAGCCAGCCTGAGCTACATAACACTTCCCCCAAAAGATACATGTTCCTGGACCTACCCATCTATTGACTCCTGACTCCAAATCTGAGGGTGGGGCCTAGACATTGGTTTTTTAAAAGTCTTCTGCAGGTGGTTCTGATACACACTAAAGTTTGAGAACCATCTCAGTCTACCTGGTATCAAAGCAGCACACATTCGTATCCCCTTGTTGCCCTCTCAGTGCACAGTAGAGGCAATAAAGGTAAAGAAAGGGCAGTTTTCTGAAAGTGCCCCACCTTTGTGGTTTGTTTTGCTTTGCTTTCTAGGCAGGGTGTCTAGCCTAGGTTGGCCAGGGATATGACTGAGATGTATCAGGGTGACCTTGAACTTCTGATCCTTCTGCCCTCACCTCTCAAATGCTGGGATTATAGGCATGTGTCCCACTTGGTTTATGCTGGACTGGGTAGCAAGCCCTGAGCTTTGTTCATGTTAGGCTAGCCCTCTATGCAGAGCATCTCAGCCCAGAGCACCCTACCTTTAAATAGAATTCGGAAAGAGGTTTTCTTACATCACCTTAGTATAATGCTTTCTATCTGACTCTCCCAAGTGCCCTGAGTGTCAGTGCTGGTTCACACAAAATAGTCTCTTTTTAAAAAAATATTATTTTTATTTTATGTGTATGTGTGTATTGCCTGTGCCCACAGAGGACAGAAGAGGCTGTCAGATCCCCTGGAACTGGAGTTACAGACAGTTGTTAGCTGCTAGGTGGGTGCTGGGATTCAAACCTGGGTCTTCTGCAAGAACAACCAGTGTTCTTAACTGCTGAGCCATCTCTCCAGCCCACAAAATAGTCTCTTAAAATAACATTGTAGCCAGGTGAGGTGGGGCACACCTTTAATCCCAGCACTCAGGAGGCAGAGGCAGGCAGATCTCTGTGAGAACCAGGCCAGTCTGGCTTACATAGGGAGTTCTAGGCCAAATGAGGCTAGAGGGAGACATTGTGGCAAAAACAAACCAACAACAAACAAACCAAACAGAACAAAAAGGACATTGTGCTGTTTTTTAGCCACTTTGTTTTCTACAATGTTTCAATTAGGAAGAGTCAGGTCATGGAGTGATTACTTCAGAAAATGAAGGGCTTTGGTGGTCAGAGCCTCTGACCTCTGTCCTTGCTCACCCACTGTTCATTCCTCTGGTTTCAGGAGGAAAGCTCTCTGTGGTCCTGAAGGCTGAAGACATCTCTGAGCTCCTGCTAGACCCAGCCTCATCTGTACTTGCCAAGGTGACAACAGCAGAAAGACGGGCATCTCTGATGTCTAGGGAAAGCTGTGATTTCTTTAGTGTGTTTTTAAATATCTTTTAAAGTTTTATTTCTTTATAATGTGTGTGAGTGTTTTGCCTGCCTGTATGTAAGTGTACCATGTGCTGTAGTGTCTCAGTGGCCAGAAGAGGGCATCAGATCCCCTGGAACAGAAGTTACAGAGGGTTTTTAGCTGCCATGTGGAAGCTGGGAACTAAACTGGAGTCCTCAGCAAGAGTAGCCCATGCTCTTAACCACTGAGCCATCTCTCCAGGCCCAGATTTATTTTATTTTTAATTATGTGTATTTGTATGTGTCTATGTGTGGGTATATGCACATGAGTGTCAGTGTCCACAGAGGCCAGAGGTATGGGATCCCCCTGGAGCTGGAGGTCCAGGAGATTTTGAGCTACCTGATGGAGCTGCTGGAAACAACTCCAGTCCTCTGCAAGAGCAGTATGTACTCAACTTCAGAACCAGCTCTCCAGCCCTGTATTTATTTATTTTGAGACAAGATCTCTGTAAGAAAAGATGATGCTGCTCAGTGGTATGGGGCGTGCAGGGATCTCAGGGCACCAGCTACTAGCGTGGCGCGGGTCCCCTGCGCTCACCCTGGAGCGGCAGCGGGTCTGGTCTCGCACCGCGTCACTGTCCGCCGCTGGGGTGCTGAGGGTCTCGCGCACTGCGTTGTTGGCTTCTCTCCACGGTGGCGAAGCTCTCTGCTTCTCCGCTGTGGATCCCTCTGCTACCGGGGCTGGCCCGGTAGAGTGCCGCCCTAATTTCACCCGTGTACTCTCTCTCTAGATTCAGGACCCGTCAGCTGCCGGGTCACGAGGAGAGGTGCGCAGGGCTAAAGCTAGGTGTCCGTGAGTCGGCTTACTAAGAGACAGCTCTCTCGGGAAGGCTGGATCGTAGGCAATGAGACACAGGACTCAGCTCAGTCCGTGTTACAGCTCTTTATTAAGTGACTCTGCTTGGCTCCAAGTCTCAGTGCTCCAGCTCGAGTTCTAGCTCCAGCTTCAGTTATTGAGGGGAAACCAGGAAACTTTATACCGTGGGGGTAGTGGTAAAAGGCTTTAGCTGGTAGGTACTTTGTGGGATGCCCTTATTTACTTATGGAAGTGGGCTCCTGCCATGCTGCCAGACTGCCTGAAAATCACACAGGAAAGCATGGCATTTCCAGAGCCAGAAGCCATGTTTCTGTGGTGGCTACTTCAAAAGACGAGTCAGGAAGATGCCAGGAAGGCACTCTGCTGAAAAAGGAGTCTCTGCATTTGAATCCGAGCCCGTGCGCTTTCCCGACATGGAGAAACTGCTACTTTACACAGCAAGAGTCCCCAACACAGTGGCAGTAGGGACAGGTTTATTTCAGAATAAACTTGAGAAGGGCTCGCATCAGAGAAGGTGAGAAAGGGAACTTCTCTCACAGGCTAGTTTTTATCAGGGCTGGGAGAAGGTTGGTCAGGGGCTGAGGTCCAGTTTGACCAGGTGGTGTTAACAGTCAGCCTAGTATTTGTGGTAGACTGGTGTGTATAGTGTTGACTTCAGGAAACTAACTTTGGGAAATTGAAACTGGTAGTCACAGGAGGGGGTTGCTGTTCAGGCTGTAATATAGTCACCGGAAAGGGCTATTTAGGTTGGAATGGGGTGCCTCTGAGATAATATGGCTGTGCTCGTGTTCTCTCAGTATAATAATAATAATTATTATTAATATTAGTAGTAGTAGTATTTTTGAGACAGGATTTCCTTGTAGCTCCGGCTGCCTTGGAATTCACTATGCAGACCAGGCTGGCCTCAAACTCAAGAGATCTGCCTCCCAAATTCTGGGACTAAAGGCGTATGCCATCATGCCTGGCTAAGAATCATTATTTAGACCCAACTGGCCTTGCACTCACAGAGATCCACCTGCCTCTGCCTTCTAAATACTGGGATTAACAGTGTGTACCACCCTGCTCAGTTAAATTGTGATTTTAATTAAAGACAAATAGGGGTGTTCAGATAGGGCCCATGTAGCCCAGGCTAGCCTAGAACTCAGTATATAGCCAAGGATAACCTTGAACTCCTGAGCCTTTTTCACCACCTCCTGCCTCCTAGGATTACAAACCTGTTCCACATGCCTAGTTTATGAAATATGTGATAGAACGCAGAGCTTTGTACATGCTAGGCAAGCATTCTACCAACCAAGCTACAAGCACAGCCTAGGTTTGACATTTTTATGAATTTCTCTTTCAAACAGTATACGATCACAGAATTCATAGGTAACCTGAAAATACAATCCTACAGTGTGTTAGCATCAGCATTCATTATGTTTCTTCTAGGCTCCATTAAGAAACCGGAGTATGAGCCAGGAGTGGTGGTACATGCCTTTAATCCCAGCACTTAGGAGGCAGAGGCAGAGGCAGATGGATCTCTGTGAATTCCAGGTCAGCCTGGTTTTCATAGCAAGTTCTAGGCCAGCTGGGGCTTCAGGGAGACCCTATCTCAAAAAAAAAAAAAAAAAGAGGAGAGCCAGGCATTATGGCACACCTCTTTAATCTCAGTATTTGGGAGGCAGAGGCAGGAGGATCTCTGTGAGTTTAAAGCCACCCTGATCTACACTGTAAGTTCTAAGCCAGCCAGAGCTACAGACCCTGTCTCTCAAAATAAAGAAAGAAAATACATAGTCCAAAATAGCTTACCAGAGAAGAGACCAGTTTATAAAAGCACACACTAGGGTGAAAGAGCTTTAAAATACTTTTATTTTTTCTGAAACAACTCACTGTGTATCCTGGCTAACCTGAAACTCAGAGACTATCCTGCCTCTATATCCCAAGTGGTGTACTTAAAGGTGTGCACTACACACTTGGCTTGAAAATACTCTTCAAGGGGCTGGAGAGATGGCTCAGCGGTTAAGAACACTGACTGTTCTTGCAGAAGACCCAGGTTTGAATCCCAGCACCCACATGGGCAGCTAACAACTGTCCATAACTCCAGTTCCAGGGAATCTGACAGCCTCTTCTGACATCCGCGGCATTGCACAACACAGGTGTGCTTACCTACATGCAGGCAATACATGCATACACATAAAATAAAAATAATAAATAAAACATATTTTAGGAGCTAGAGAGATGGGTCAGCGGGTAAGATCACTGACTGATCTTGCAGAGGACCCAGGTTCAATTCCCAGCACCCCACATGGTGGCTACAAACCGTCCTTAACTCCAGTTCCAGGGGAATCCAAAGCTGTCTTCTGACCTCCGCAGCATTGCATGACACAGGTGCACTCACATACATGCAGGCAATACACTCATACACATAAAATAAAAATAAAATATTTTTTAAAAATATGTATTTTTAAAAATGCATTTCCTAAATTGCATTCTCTTTTTTTTTTTTGTCTTTTTGAGCTAGGGTCTCCCTGTAGCTCCAGCTGCCCTGTAACTCACTGAGTAGACCAGGCTGGCCTCAAACGCACAAGAGATCCACTTGCTGGGACTACAGGTGTGCGCCACCACACCTGGCTTCTTTATATATTTAAACCTATAACTGAAACCTTTTTTTGTTGTTGTAAAACAGGATCTCCTTATGCAGCTCAGGCTGGCCTTGAACTCCTGCCTCCATCTCTTGAGTTCTGAGATTTATAGGCATGCTATAAATCTATGTTTTGTTTTGAGGCAGGGTCTTGATAACTAGCCCAAGCTGGCCTCAAATTTGGTCAATCCTCTTGCCTCAGCCTCCCAAGTGTTCTCTACCATACCCAGGTAGTTACTGTAATTTATTTATTTTTATTTATTTAGTCATTCATTCATTCATTCATTCTGTTTTTGAGACAGGGTCCCAGGAATCTCAAGCTGGCCTCAAATTCACTATGATCTTGAACTCCTGATTTTCATTCCCTGCCCTCACACTGAGTGCTGGGGTTAGAAGCATGGACCACTATGCCTGCCTTGTATGGTGCTGGGGATGTGAATGCCGGGCAAAGGATGTGGCTCTACCAAGTGAGTCACATTCCCAGCTAAGATTTCTGCCCTTCCTGCTTTCCTCATGGTTCTGCCAGTCCAAACTAATGGTTAAGATTCCCAGTGGGGAAAGAGCACCTTCAGTAGAGAGAGGGAACAGTGGTGTGAGCTTCCTGTTAGAGGTTGCTCTAGTGCCCATTCACTAGAAGGACAATTTTGCTGGAAGATTTGAGGCAGGCAGGACAGGAAGGATATCCGTGGATGGCTGGTATCATGAAACAGAATAGGAAGCCAGCATAGTATACACACATGCAAACAGGAAGTTGAGTCCAGAGGTGGAAAGATAGACATGAGCTATGCAGGCCCACTGGAAGGCCCTGAGGGTTTTCACTTACCAGGGTAGGGGCATCCCAGAGGGAACTCGTGCTCTGTCATTGATTTACCCTGAAGATTTGCATAGTATGCATAGGGCAGAAGGATCAGTTCAAAGGCATGTGCCAAGCATTTTTCTGATCAGCCTTTGACCTCCTGATAGCAATTATTTTTCTGTAAATTAGTTTACATCTGTGTCCAATCACTCAGAGTCATTTTTTTTTTAAATCCAGAGCCTTATCACGGTTTGGGTTTTAAGTTCCTGAGCTGGTAAACATGAAATCTGGTCCCTGACAGTGCAGTTGCCAGAGAACGTCACAGTGTTGCCACCATACCTGGCATCACCACAGAGCCACAGAATGATATCACACACTGCCCACAGCCAAAGCAGGACAAAGCTCTTTACTGTTCAAATGGGTTTTTATGATATTTCTTTATTTTTATCTTTTACGTATGAGAGTTTTGCCTGTACATATAACATGTGTGTACCTTCGGAGGCCAGATATAGCATCATGTCCCCTGGAGTTACAGATGGTTGTGAGCTGCCACACAGTTGTGGGTGCTGGGAACTGAACCTGGATCCTCTGTAAGAGCAGTAAACACTTGGGGCTGGAAAGATAGCTCAGTGCTTTAGAGCACTGGTTGCTCTTGCTAGTGGACCTAGGTTCGATTCCCAGCACCCACATGGTGTCTGTAACTCTAGTTCCAGCCTCTTCTGACCTCCTTGGTCATTGCACAACACAGTTGCACTTACACTCATGCAGGCAATACACTCATACACATAAAATAAAATAAAAATTTTATTTGGGTTTTCTGCAAGAGCAGTCAGTGCTCTTAACCTCTGAGCCATCTCTCCAGCCCATATTTTTTTCTTTTAAACATTATAGTTAATATGGGGTTGGAGAGATGGCTCAGGGGTTAAGAGAACCTAGGTTTTGTACCTAACAACCACATGTTGGCTGACAACTCTCCCTAACTCCAGTTCCAGGAGATCTGATGCTCTCTTTTGGCATCTATGAGCACTGCATGCACATGGTGCACTTTACATACATGTCAGCAAAACACTCATATACATAAAATAATAAAAATAATTTTTTTTAAATTATAGTTAATAGGGCTGGGGGCATGTCTTAGTTGGTCAAGTGTTTGGCTAGCATGCAAGAACCCCTGGGTTATCTACCCAGGTACTATACAAACCTGGCATGGTGGTACATGCTGTGATCCTGGCACTTGGGAGGTAGAGGCAGGAGGGCTTGGTGTTCAAGATCATCCTAAACTACACAGTAACTTCAAAGCCAGTCTGGGCCTCATGAGACCCTGTTCTTCCTACCAAAAGAGAAAGAAAAAAGGAGAGAGAGAGAGAGAGAAAGACATCAAGCTTCGTTAGAATAGTCCTCAGCCTTTTAAAGGTGGCCCAAGTTCTCAGGTGGTCTAATACCACTAAGGTTTGTGCCCGGCTGGTGTAGGCTTTTCTTATTAATTCTTCTTATAGTTACTGCTTCTGTGGGTCTTACTTACCTTAATTGTGAATCTCCCTCCCCATGGACCTGGCAGGTGAAGTCCATGACTATGTACCCTACAGAACTGACAACAGGGACTAGCAGAGAATGTGGGTGGGAGACTTCAGTAGCATTGTCCAATGTGGAGTGAGCCTGTGGAGTCTAGTGAATGACAGGTAAATTGAGTCAAATTGGGAGGAAAGCACCAGGACACAGACAAGAACTCCAGCAGGATAGAGTTTATTGGAAGGGAAAATGCAAAGGACAGTCCCCAGTTTGGGATGGAGGAGCTGTCAGTTTACAGGCTGTTGTCTGGGGGCTTTTACAGGGGGATTTGGAGGATGCGGAAGGCAGGAAGATATTTTAAAACAAGTTAGGCAGGAGAGAGAGAGCAAGCCCAGGGCTTATCAGGCAAGAACAGCCTCTGTCAAACTGCCCCCTTTGGTCAGCCAGGATGTGGGTCATGGGATAAGAGGTCTGTCTATACATTGTGAAACTTATCAGAGGGAAGTAGCTTGTACTGAGACAGCTCCTACATCAGTGGATCTGGGGTGCAGGAGCCTGCTTATCTTCTAAGATTATCAAAGGGGAAGCAGGTTGTGCTGAAACAGCTCTTGCAGCAATTGGGTTTCAGGTCAAAGGTGTAGATGGTCTGTTTTTCTTGTCTGCATATGTTGGGGTGATCATTAACTCAGTTCCTGTATTTTCAAAGGACCTGCAAAACCATGAGGCCCTGTTGCATTGGGGAGGGGGTTGCTATAGATCCAAACCCTAACAGTGAACACTGGTGATATCTTGATGGGAAAGCAGTGGGGAACCAGCAGTTCACCTGGCTCTCAGCAGGTGCTGACATCCACCAAGGCTGGGCCTGGAAGTAGCTGATCTGTGGGAGAAAGATGGCAGATTGCCTCATTGGAGCTCCTGAGACCCAGCAAGGAACAGCCACCAGGGAGTGGATGCAGCCAATGTGTGACTCACACTGTGTTCCCACACTTAGACTCTAATCTGCAGTTCTTCAAGCACAAGCAAGCCAAAGACAGTGCAGGGTCTTTTCTTTTTTTTCTTTCAATTCAATTCAATTCAATTTAATTTATTATATATGAGTGTATGGCCTGCATATATGTAAGTATACCCATGTTGTGCAGTGCTCGCAGAGGTCAGAAGAGGGTGTTAGATCTCCTAATACTGGAGTTAGGGACGGTTATTAGCTGCCATGTGGGTGCCGGGATTCAAACCCCAGTCTTCTGCAAGAACAGCCAATGCTCTTAACTGCTGAGCCATCTCACCAGCCAGCCAGGAGTGGTGGCGCATGTCTTTAATCCCAGCACTCAGGAGGCAGAGGCAGGTGGATATCTGTGAGTTCAAGGCCAGCCTGGTCTCCATAGTGAATCCAGGCCATCTGGGGCTACAGGGAGACCCTGTCTCAAAAAGACCCCCCCCAAAATTTATTTTTTATTTTTATGTGAGTATATTGCCTGTATGTGTGTAAGTGTATCCGTGTCCTGTAATGCCCATGGGGGTCAGAAAAGGGTGTCAGATTCCCCTGGAACTGGAGTTACAAACTGTTGTTAGCTGCCATGTGGATGCTGGGATTTGAACCCAGGTCCTCTGCAAGAGCAGCCAGTGCTCTTAATCGCTGAGCCATCTCTCCAGCTCCCTCTTTTTCTTTTTTAAAATGATTTTTTACCTTTTAATATGTAATTGCATGTGGTGTGGGTGTTCTCCCTTGTATGAGTGTGGAGCCCAGAGAGCCACATTGGTGTCTTCCTCTATCATTCTCTACCCTGTTTTTTGTTGTTGTTCCTGTTAAAGCCCTTTACAATTTTTTTTTTAATTTAAGCTGATATGTCTGTCTTTCTGTGTGTGTACAGGTGTTCAAGGAGGGTAGAAGAGGGCATTGGACTTCCCGGAGCTGGAGTTATTTAGGCAGTTGTGAGCCAGCTGACTGCTGGGAATTGCTGAGCCATCTCTACAGCTCTTTTTTTTTTTTTTTTTTTTTTTTTTTTTTTTTTTTTGGTCTTTTTGAGACAGGGTCTCCCTGTAGCCCCAGCTGTCCTGGAACTGGCTATGTAGACCAGGCTGGCCTTGAACTCACAGAGATCCGCCTGCCTCTGCATCTTTTTTGCTGGGATTAAAGGTGTGTGCCACCATGCTTGGCTCAATTGTTTTTTTTGAAACAAAATCCCTTACTAAACCTAGAACTCCCCAATTCATCGAACTGACTGGCCAGTCAGCTCCCAGAATCCTCCTGTCTGCCCCCCAAAATTTATGCTTGAGTTTCCTTGGGTACTGAAGATCCAAACTCAGTTTCCCATGATTGATTGCATGGGTAGGCCCTTTACTGACTGAGCCATTTCATTGCTCTCCCTTTTCTCTCTCCTTCTCTCTTTGTCTCTCTTTCCCTTTCTCCCTCCCTTACTCTTGCTCTCACTCTCTCTGTTTGTTGAGACACGGTCTTCTTGTAGCCCCAGCTGGCCTGGGACTCTCTATGTAGACCATGCTGGCCTTGAGCTCACAGAAATTCCCCTGTCTCTGCCTTGGGAGTGCTGGGAGTAAGGGCATGTAACACCACGCCTGGCCTTTCTTCCCTCTTTTTTTGAGATGGGATTTCATGTTCAAGCTACCTCGTCAGCAAAACTGGGGTCCATGGTCAGAGTGTAGGTGGTCAAGACTATGAGGGTTCTGCTCTCACCTAGTAGAACTGGGCAAGCCAGGGATGACTGCAGTGGACTTCACACTATGGCCTGAAATTAACCCAAACTCCAGACCAAGGAGGGTTCTCAAACAGCACAAAGGCCTCCAGGAGTATGGTGCTTGGGGGTTCCCTCCCTCTGAGCTCCTCTACTTGGTGGCACCCCCCACCCTGACTCAGGCATACCCATTTACACACTCATTCAGTCACACACACGTGTGCTTTCTGTGTACCCTGCTCTTGCTGGAGCACTAGGTGATGCACTCACCCCCACCCCCCACACATTCCCAGCTTTCTTGTGGAGAATCCCACTTTATAGTGCTTGGTTTAGTCATGGGGAGAAACATGACAGCCTTCTGAGCAGGAATTTCTCTTGAAATTGCTTGTTCTCTAATGACAGTGTTTCCTTACTTCTAGGACTCAGTTGATTTCCTCTCTCTTGATTTGTCTTATGAATGCCAAAGTGTGGCAAGTCTACCACAGAAGCTAAATGAATTGCAGGTAATTTGAGCTCTTTTCCATCTTGATGGTGATGGTGAATGGTGAAGGTTCTTGAGGGTTTATTAGACATTTGATGCTTTGACTAATGCATGGACTGAGCCTCCTCCAGCACCCAGACTCCCTGAGCTGCAGCTGTGGGGATTTCCACATGAAGAGAACGTCAGGATATGGGCTGGGGATGGGGCTCAGTTGGTAGAGTGCTTGCCTAGCATGCACGAAGTCCTGGGTTTGATCCTGTGCTTGTCTTAGCACTCCAGAAGATCAAGAGTTCAAGACCATTCTCAGCTTGTATCTTAGCCTGGGATACATGATGCCCTGTCTGAGAGAGAGAGAGAGAGAGAGAGAGAGAGAGAGAGAGAGAGAGAGAGAAAGAGAGAGAGAGAGAGAAGAGACATCCACAAACAGGTGTGTGAGAGGGTGTGTGTGTGAAAGGGTGTCTGCCTGGCTCCTTTCTAAGTAGTTGCTAACAGTATCTCTTAGTAACTCTATCTGTGGATAAAGTTAGAGTGTGAGGAAACCACCAAACCCTCACCACCAAGAAAACTGATTTAAAGTCAAGTCAAACATGTCAGCCTGAAGATAATTTCCCTTCCTGTCAAAGTGATTAGGAAAAAAAAAAAAAGGAAAGATAATCATATGTGATGAACCCTTCATAACGACAGTACCTTTGACTTGAAAAAAAATGGTTTACATATGTATGTGTCTGTGTGAGTGTATGCGCCTGTCTGCACTTGGAAGCCAGAAAGGGGCACTGGATCCCTCAGAGCTGGAGTTACAGTGTTTGTGGAACATATGGCTTGTTGTGTAGGTGCTGTGATCTGAACTCCAGTCCTCATGATTGTGCAGTCACTGCAGCTCCTTTTTGGACTTTTTTTTTTTTTTATCTTTTTTTGAGACAGAGTCCCCCTGTAGCCCCAGCTGTCCTGGAACTCTCACTATGTAGACAAGGCTGGCCTTGAACTCACAGAGATCTGCCTGCCTCTGCCTTCGAGTGCTGGGATTAAAGGCGTGTGCCACCACGCCGGGCTGCTTTTTGACTTTTTATTATGAAAAGAAACAAATCCAGAAGTAGAGAGAAAAGTATAGGATCCCATATGAAGCTGTGACCAGCTTGTTCAACTGTAAACTTCTCCCTGCAAAACTGAATTTTTTTTTTTTTTTGAGACAGAATCTCAAACTCACTATGTAGCTGCTGAGGGTGACCTAAAACTCTGGATCCTCCTATCTCTACCTCCTAAGTGCTGGGATTATAGGTGTGTACCAATACACATGGTTTATGCAGTACTAACGATGGAACATAGGACCTCATGCATGCTAGGCAAGCTCTCTACCAACTGAAGTACATTCCTAGCCCCACAAACCAGAGTATTTTTTGAACAAACCATGGACTCCCGTGAACCTGGTGATAGTGGCACCTTGCTTAAGCTTCTTGGGTAGCACAGGCTCCTGCCAAGAGCAGACCACCTTGCTCTTGACCCTATTGTAGCTCCTGGCTTATGAGGTGCCCCTCTTAAAGTGAAGCGGTATAAGTGTCACAGTGCTGGGAAAGGGAAGGTGGCCAATGGTCATTTTGTAGTGTAGACCTTTCTCCCTCAGAGTCTAAGTCAGCTTTTCTATGTGACTGTGGTGGCTAGAGGTCATTTGCAAAGGTGAATGCCTGGCTTCCTTCCTGTCCCCTTTACTAAAGACAGCTTCTGATCACTTACTGATCTTTATCTTTTCCAGAACATTGAACCTAAAGTAAAAGTTTTCATCTTCACCTTAAAGCTTCAGGACTGTCCCTCCACAGGGGAGAGCCCCTCCTCCTTGCTCTTCAGCCTTCTCGAAGGTGAGTGGACAACACATGCGAGGTTTTGAGTAACATTTGGTGCCCTAGCTTGTTAGGTAGCAATATTGAAATCTGGAGTTCCAGTGGGGGAGGCGCCTAGGAAGATGGCTAGACTGAAAGGCTCTGAGTGAGTCTAAGGTCCCCTGCCTTCCCTAATAGCAAGCCCCAACTGTCCCAAGGCAGTATAAGGTTCTGTACAGATGCCTAGGATGCCTGCTACAGACAGGAAGAACTTCAGTTCTCAGATGGGAGATTTTGGCATGGAAAAGCAGCTTTGTTTTCCCTTGTTCCATGTCACATGACCTCAGCTTACCTGGCTTCCTGATGGGACACCAAGATGCTGTACCTGCTGTTTAAGGACTCACTGTGTAGTCCAAGCTGGCCTCAATCTCCAGGAAATACTCCTGCCTCCACCTCCCATGTGCTGCAATTACAAACATGTATCACTGTATGTATGTATGTTTGCAATTACAAACATGTATCACATGTATCTGAGTAACAGCCTAATCTTTTCAATGTTTCTTAATTCACATCTGTGTGTGTGTGTGTGTGTGTGTGTGTGTGTGTGTGTGTGTGTGAATATGTGAGTGCTTGCATGTAGAGACCAGACAACTTTGGCTTTTGTTCCTCAGGCAACATCCATTTTGCTTTTTTGAGGCAGGGTCTTTCATTAGCCTGAAAGTTGCCAATAAGACTAAGCAGGCTGGCCATTGAACTTTAGGGATCTGCCTATCTCTGTCTCCCCAGTGCTAGGTTTACAGGCACATGCCCCCATGCCCAGCTTTTTTTATGTGGGTTCTGGGCATGGAACTTGGGTCTTCATGCTTGGGAGGAAAGCATTTTACTAACTAAGCTACCTCTCTCAGCCTCCTCTTCCTCTTCCTCCTTCTTCTCTTTTGAGACAGGGTCTCACTATGTGGCCCTGGCTGGCCTAAAATTCACCAAGAGGGCCTGAAAGAAACAGAGATCCTCCTGCCTCTGCTAGGATTAAATGTGTGTACCACTAGGCCCAGCCCACTATTTTAGTCTTAAGCAGGCCAGATACACTCATGGTATTTTCTAGAGGGGCTTAGAAACACTGCTTGGAGTTTGGGTGGGTTTTATGAGTGAGGAAAAGTACTGATTACATGTTTGTGCTTGAGTTTCACATACATTTGTCTACCGCCATACCACCCCAAACATACCTAATCTCCCAATCTGAGAAGCTAAACTGGGTTAGGGCTGGTTAGTACTTGGATGGGAGTTTCACAAACATTTAACTAAGCTTCTGTTCTTACAGCCATAAATAAAGACCAAATGCTTACCATTGGATTTGACATCAGTGCATTCCTGAGCTGTTCAAGTTTTGAGGACAGGTAATATTGGCTTACAGTAAGCTGACAGTAACTGATACTGTGGACTCCTCTGTTCTTTACATGGGAAACCATCAGGGACAGTTTTCCTTAGCTTTTAGAATAGTGCATAGATCATAGTCATTTAACAAAAGAGAGGGAAGGCTGGAGAAGTGAGCCCTCACTGAGCTGTATCTGGGCCCCATACAGTCTGGCTTCCTTACCTGTCAGAATAAAGCAGCTACACACATTTAGAAGAACTAGGATTTGAACCCTTTGTCTTTAAGATCTTGGGGGCAGCGTGTATGTTAAAGAAAAAGGAGGTTATGGTGAGATGGTTCAATGGATGAGGGTACTTGCTAAAAGCAGTGAAAGCAAAGTCTCACAATTTAAGTTTAATCCCCAAGACCTGCATGGTGGAAGGAGAAGGAGTAAATGGATTTCTGCAAGTTGTCCTCTGACCTACATACATACACACTACGGCACGTGTACACAAACACACACACACACACACCAAATAAATAAATGTAATAATTTAAAAAAATTATTATTTTTATTTTATATGTATGCGTGTATTGCCTACATGTAGGTAAGTGCACCCATGTCATGCAATGCCCATGGAGGTCAGAAGAGGCTGTCGGATCCCCTGGGACTGGAGTTATGAACAGTTGTTAGCTGCCATGTGGGTGCTGGGATTTGAACCTGGGTCTTCTGCAAGAACACCAGTGTTCTTAACCACTGAGCCATCTCTCCAGCCCCAAATGTAATAATTTTTTTTTGAGACAGGGTCTCCCTGTAGCCCCAGCTGGCCTGGAACTCACTGTGTAGACCAGGCTGGCCTTGAACTCAGAGATCTGCCTGCCTCTGCCTCCTGAGTGCTGGGACTACAAGAGTGCACCACCATGTACTGCCTAATAAATTTTTTTCAAAGACAGTAGGGCGCTGGCGAGAGCTCTGTGAATAACAGTATGTACTGCTCTTGTAGAGGACCCAAGTCAGCTCCTAGCACCCATGTTGGGCAGCTCACAACTGCCTGTAACTGCAGCTCAGGGAATCAGACACCTCTAGCCTCTGCAGGCACTGCGCTCATGTGCATAAACCCACACATGTATATACATAATTAGAAAGTAAAAAGTGAGCTGGGTGTGGTTATACACGCCTTTAGTCCCAGCACTGGGAAGGCAGAGGCAGGTGGATCTCTGTGAGATTAAGGCCAGCCTGGTCTACATAGTGAGTTCCAGGCCAGCTGGGGCTACAGAGAGACCCTGTCTCAAAAAGACCAATAAGTAAATAAATAAAATAAAATAAATTTAAAAAGTGAAAAAATTTTTAAGATAGATCAGGCATGATGACACACACCTCATCTGTCAGACAGCTTTCCTGAGCCTTCATTTCTTTCTATTCTTTATTCCTCTCAACTCAATTCAGATCAGCAACTCATGTCTGCTGCATGTAGCTCCTGTATGTCAGGCTTTGTGCTGTGAGTGCCAACAGTGCACAGAGAGGCAGATCTCTAACCACCCATAAAGTCAGCTGAACTGGGAGGGGCTAGGACCTCAGGAAAGAAAACCCAACAAGTTGAAATCAAATGGGCTCCCTGGGAGGCCAGTAATTACAAAACACAAGTGACCCTAAAACTAAGATTGTTTCTTTAACCCCCTGACCTGCTGGTACTCTGCCCATAGTGAAGAACCAATATGAACTTCCTTGCACTTCCTGACTCAGTAGACGTGAATGGGGAACCTGCTGGGGGGACGTGGAGGGTATGTAGAGGTGGCTTCACAGAGAACTGAGAGACATTTTCTCCCTGGAGAATTTTAGCTGTCACAAGCGAGACAGTGAGGGCCCTCAACAACCCTGATATCAGACTATGGCAGTAGATACACAGCACTGCATCCCACAGTGGGGAGAAGAGCCTTGCCTGGGGAGGCTGGGATCAGGTTGACCTTGGCTTAGAGTCATCTGCTACTCTTCCTCCTCCTCAGCTCCTCATCCCCTGCGTCTTCATCCTTCTCATTCTTCTGTATTTCCTGTTCCTCCTCCATCTCCTTCTCCTCCTCCCCTTCCTTCTCCCTTTTTGAGACAAGGTCTCACGTAGCCCAGGCTGGCCTCAAACTTGCCATGTAGCCAAGGATGACCTTGAACTCCTGATCCTGTTGCTTCTACCTCCTGAGTACTGATATTACAAGCATGCTCCACCACACCCAGTTTATATGGTATTAGAGATGGAACCCGGTCCTCATGCATGTTAGAGAAGCACTCTAGCAACCGAGTAATTTTCCTAGCCCCTGTGGGGCATTTATAACTCTGTCATTAATTATATCCCTTGTGTCACTTCAATCCTACAGACCATCCTGTTCCCTGACTGACAGCCTGACTGCTGTAACTGAGCAGCACCATGAGACACCAGCTGTGTCCTCGTCCCCTGAATCAGCCTACCAAAGAGTCTGGGCAGCCTTTGCTAATCAGTCTAGCGCTGAAAGAGATGCCTTCCTACAAGACGTGTTTCCTCAAGACTTCCTCTGGGGTGTCTCCACGGGAGCATTTAATGTGGAAGGAGGCTGGGCCGAAGGCGGCAGGGGGCCAAGCATCTGGGACCAGTATGGGTATATAAATGCTGCCAAGGGCAATGGAACACCAGGGGTGGCTAGTGACAGTTACCACAAGCCAGCCTCTGATGTTGCTCTGCTTCGAGGCCTCCGGGCTGAGTTGTACAAGTTCTCCTTCTCCTGGTCCCGGCTCTTCCCCACTGGGCAGGAGAGCAGCCCCAACCCCCAAGGTGTAGCCTACTACAACAAGTTAATTGACAACCTGCTGGACTCACACATCGTGCCCATGGCCACACTTTCCCACTGGGACCTGCCTCAGGCCCTGCAGGATCATGGAGGGTGGCAGAATGAGAGTGTGGTGGACGCCTTCCTGGGCTACGCAAGCTTCTGCTTCTCCACTTTTGGAGATCGTGTGAAGCTGTGGGTGACCTTCCATGAGCCATGGGTGATGAGCTATGCAGGCTATGGCACTGGGCAGCATGCGCCAGCTGTCTCCGACCCAGGAGTGGCCTCTTTTAAGGTACTTCCCCCATCCCTACAGCTCCCAGCAATTAGAAAGCACATTTGTCTGGAGGAAAGTGATTTTGTTTGTTTCCTTTCCAGCTATCTTAAGTCTGTTCTTTTTTTTTTTTTTCTCCTCCCCTCCCTCTTTGTAAGTCTGTTCTTAAAAGGAATTCAGAGAGAGGAAAGGATGTATACGTTTTATTGTGACTGTTGTTTGAGACAGGGTCTCATATACCCAGGCTGATCTTGAACTCATTATGCAGCTGAGGATCACCTTGAACATCTGATCCTCCTGCTTGTACATCCTGAGTGCTACGACTCCATAGTGTCGGTGTACCATGCCTGGTTTTCATGCAGTGCTGGGACTCTAACCTAGGGCTTCCTTTATGCTACGCAAGCATGCTTTCTTGTTGCTGTGACATAATACCTGACAAAAACCACTTAAGGAAGGAAGAGTTTATCATGGCTCACAGTTTGAGGGTACAGGCCATGTGGTGGGGAAGTCATGGCAACAGGAGTGGGAGGCAGCTGGTCACATTGCATCCACAGTCAGGAAGCAGAGAGAGGAATGCTGATGTTCAGGCTCTATCAAATTGACAGTGTTAGCTATCACAAAGTATTTCTTTTTTTTTTCTTTGATGGTAGGAGTTGAACCCAAGGCTTTAAGAGCACACTAGAGAAGTGCTCTACTCCTTAAGTCCTATCTCCTTCGATTATTCTATTTATTACTTCATGTTATACCATTATTTTAAAGCTGCTATAACCATATAAAATGGTATAAAATACTATAGGCAGGACCTTAAAAAACAGTTTTTGGTTCTTTGAGGTTTTTTTTTTTTTTCTTTTTTGTCTTTTTGAGACAGGGTCTCCCTGTAGTCCCAGCTGACCTGAACTCACTATGTAGACCAGGCTGGCCTTGAACTCACAGAGATCCGCCTGCCTCTACCTCCCAAGTGCTGGTATTAAAGGCGTGTGCCACCACACCCGATCTAAAACAGTTGTTTAACAGTTTCCTCACAGTTCTGGAGTCTGGGAAGTCCAAGATCAAGGTACCAATATGGTAGGTTTCAGGTACCAGGCTCTGTTCCTGTCTGTCACCAATGGGTGGGGGAAGAGTGGAGAGGGAAGGGGGGAGAGGGGAGGTGGGAAGGACAGAGCATACCCTCTGGTGGCTCCTTACAAGGATACCAACATCACCATGAGGGCCTACCTTCCTGTCCTACCCAGTCATCTTCCAGGGGCCTCACCAATACCATCACACTGGCCTTAGGGCTTCACATGTAAGCTTTAGGGAGACATAATTCAGTCCACAGTAACTATTAAGGAAAAGGTCACAGGGAAGATTCCTTGGAGTTTTGGGGTTTTGTTGTTTTGTTCTGTTGGCATTTCTGCAATTTGCCTTAGTTTAGTGTGCATTGTTTCACTCAGCGCCGTCATTAGTGCTTCTCCCTGTTACTAGATGGTTAGGATGATTCTTTCCCTTTTTTTTTTTTTTTTTGAGAATCTTGTATAGTCCAGGCTTGCCTTGAACCTTGAACTTGCTCTTGTGACCAATAATGCTCCTCCTGTCTCTACCTCCTGAGTACTAGGATTACAGGCTTGAACCACCATGCCCAGTTTATGCAATGCTGGTGATGGAGTCCAGGACTTTGAGCATGCTAGGCAAGCAGTCTACCTGTCCAGCGAGTCCCTAGCCCCATTGCTCATACTATTGACATTAGCTTGTTAGTGCCATCCTTGACATCGTGGTTTTCCTCCTTTCTTCTTCACAAGGTGGCTCACTTGATCCTCAAAGCTCATGCCAGAACTTGGCACCACTACAACCGTCACCATCGCCTAGAGCAGCAGGGGCGTGTGGGCATCGTGCTCAACTCAGACTGGGCAGAGCCCCTGAATCCCAAGAGTCAGGAAGATGTCTTGGCCTCTGAGCGCTTCCTGCAGTTCATGCTGGGCTGGTTTGCACACCCTGTCTTCGTGGATGGAGACTACCCTGCCACCCTGAAGGCTCAGATTCAGCAGGTAAACCAACAGTGTGGGCATCATGTGGTCCAACTCCCGGAGTTCACCGAGGCAGAGAAACAGCTCCTGAAAGGCTCTTCGGACTTCCTGGGTCTGTCTCATTACACGTCCCGCCTCATCAGCAAGGCTGGGCAGCAGACATGTACCTCCAGCTATGATAACATTGGAGGCTTCTCCCAGCATGTGGACCCCTCGTGGCCCCAGACCTCATCTCCCTGGATCCGAGTGGTGCCATGGGGCATAAGGAGGCTGCTGCGGTTTGCTTCCACGGAATACACAAAAGGAAGAGTTCCGATCTACGTGGCTGGGAATGGCATGCCTGTCGGGGAGAGTGAAGACCTCCTTGATGACTCGGTGAGAGTAAACTACTTCAACCTGTATATCAACGAGGTGCTCAAGGGTAAGAACATGGGTCATCCAAAGGTGGCTGGTTCTTCTCCAAGGCTTGAGTTCTGTTTAAGGACTTCTGTGGGATTCTCCCTGTTTCTGCCTCCCTCTGTGGAAGTGCTGGGGTTATAGATGCAAACCATCACATGAAGAGGGTTTTTTTTTTTTTCATGTGCATTCTGGGAATCAGACTTGAGTTATAGGACTTTTGTGGTTAGACTTCTCTCTCCCTACTTTTGTTTGGTTGTTGGTTTGTTTTTTGAGTCAGGGTCTCATGTAACCCAGGCTTACCTCAGATGTGATATGTAGCCAAGAATGAACTGGAACCTCTAATTCTCTTGCCTTCATTTCAAGTGCTGGGATCATAGGAATTCACCACTAGTACCAGTTTGTATAGTATTGTGGGTGAAAACCTGGACTTCATGCATGTTAGACAAGCACTCCACCCACTGAACTACACTCCAAGTTTATATTATTTTATTATTATTATTTATTATTAGTGTGTGTGTATGTGTGTGTGTGTGTGTGTGTGGCATATGGAGGTCAGAGGACAACTTTTGGGAGTTTGTTCTCATTTTCTGCCTTGTTTCTAAGGAGAGATCTCTAGTTTGTATTGCCTGCCACATTCCAGGCTGGCTGGCCCTTGAGACTCTCAGGCAATTCTCCTGTCTCCCACCTTGCCAAGGACATGGGGCAAGAGAAGGCAAAGTGTGAGCCACCATGCCTGGTATGAACTTTCTTCAATGGCTGTTGCTTAAAGGACTGTTGATAGGCAAGGCACATTTACCAGCAATAACCAGGAGAAGAGAGAGAGACGTGCCACAGCAGTAATGTGAAAGACAGGATAGCTTTCCAGAGGTGATTTTCTCTTTCCATCATGGGTTCTGGGGATTGAACTCATGTCTTACCCACTGAGCCATCTCATCAGCCTTTCCATCCCAGTGTTCTAATGCATTTATTTACCTAGTATTTATTGAGGGCCCATAATGTACCAGGTATTGTGCAAGACAATAGATATGCAATGTTTAACAAATGACATCCTTTCCAAATGGGAATCTTAGTCTATAGGGGGAATGCAGATGGAGGGAGGATTGATGGAGAACATTGAAGGATTGCCTGAGGACACTTAGGATGGGACACTGATTCACTGTCTCCCCTCAGGGCTCTACCTCCCTAAACTGGCTATCAAGTCTGCATTCCACTTCATTCACTGTGATGCAGCTGAACCATGTCCACAGGCTCAGTCTTGCCTACTGTACATGTCATGTATCTTATTGAAATTAAAAAAGATTGGCAAGTGGGTTTTATCACACAGGTCATGAAACTGGAAATCAGTTCATGATGCCTGTCATTTAAAGAAGCCAATAAGCGGGGTTGGAGAGATGGCTCAGTGGTTAAGAACACTGGTTGTTCTTGCCGAAGACCCGGGTTCATATCCCAGCACCCACATAGCAGCTAACAACTGTCTGTAACTCCAGTCCCAGGGGATCCAACAGCCTCTTCTGACCTCCGCAGGCATTGCACGACACAGGTGCACTTACCTACATGTAGGCAATACATGCATACGCATAAAATAAAAATAATAAAATTTTTTAAAAAAGAAGCCAATAAGTAGGGACAGACAGGATTGATACCCTAGTGGCTGTCTTTCATCTCATCTCCAGTGGGCAAATTATACAGGGAGGGTGTGGAGGACAGCCTCACTCCAGTCTATGCCTCCATCTTCATGCAACCTTCTCCCCTTACACTTGTCACTGGGCATGGAGGCACATGCCTGTAATCCCAGCACCTGGGAAGCAATGGCAGTAGGACTGAGAGTTCAAGGCCAGCCTGTGGTATATAGAGAGAGTCCCTATCTCAAAAATAAATAGAGTTAGGAATATAGCTCAGTTGTTAGAGTGCTTTCCTCAAATGGGAAAAGTCCTGGGTTCAATCCCCAGAACTTTGTAAACTGGGTAGTATATGCCTATAATCCTAGCACTTGGGAGATGAATGCAGGAGGATTCAGAGTTCAAAGTCACCCTCAGTTACTCAGAATTTTATAACAACCTAGGCTATATGAGACTGTAATCTCAAAAAAAAGTAAATACATAAATATGCTTCTTCTCTTTTGGAGTTTACTTGGTTAATCCAGGGTACTCTCATTCTGATAGTACTTCTTTTTAAATATTTTATTATTTTTATTTTATGTGTATGTGTGTATTGCCTGCATGTAGGTAAGTGCACCCTAGGAGGACAGAGAGGCTGTCGGATCCCCTGGAACTGGAGTTACGGACAGTTGTTAGCTGCCATGTGGGTGCTGAGATTTGAACCCAGGTTTTCTGCAAGAACAGCCAGTGTTCTTAACCTCTGAGCCATCTCTCTAGCCCCTTGATATTACTTCTTACCTCTGCAAAGATCCTTTCATCCAAACAGGGTTACAGTCACTGGTCCCCAGGTATAGGATTAGATTTCTTTGGGACACTTTCCTTTTGCACCAGGAAATATACTTCTTTAGGCTGTGTTTCTTTTTATAAAATATGGGTTGTGTTATCAGTCTATGTCACTGTTGCTGAGTATAAACAAGAAAAAGCAAAAGTGCGTTTTATTTTATTTTATTTTTCTGTTCTCATAAGCTTCTTTTTTATTATTTTTATTTATATGTATGAGTGTATTGCCCACATCTTTGTAAATGCATCTGTGTCATGCAGTGCCTGTGGAGGTCAGGCATTTTATTTTTTATTATTTTTTGTGTATGCGTGTATTGCCTGCATGTGTGTAAGTGCACCTGTATCTGCAATGCCCTCAAAGGTCAGAAGAAGGTGAATCCCTTGGAACTGGAGTACAGACAGCTGTTAGCTGCCATGTGGGTGCTGGGATTTGAACCTGGGTCCTCTACAGGAGGAGTCAGTGCTCTTAACCTCTGAGCTATCTCTCCAGCCCCCAAAAAGTACATTTTTAAAAACATCCAACGATTTCTGTAGCTGACATAAATCAGGTACCCTGATGCTAGAGGGCGGAGCTTAGTTTGCTACTCTTTTAAGGCTGTGGTGCTCCTGGAGGTTGATATTTATGTACATTAACATGGCCTGGTGTACTGGGAGGTCTTACCGATTTCCCTTTCATTAATTCTGAAAAGGTAAAAGGTTAAATTTTGGAATATACTGAGTCTCCTCCAAAAATGCCATGTAAGAAGTAAATGTCCTAAATGCCATATCAGTAACAGGTATTTTATGGATATTTCATTCTTTTTTCTTTTTTTTTTTTTGAAACAGGATCTCACTGTGAGCCCTGGCTGACCTGGAACTCACTGTGTAGTCCAGACTAGCCTTAGATTTGTGGAAATCTTCCTGCCTTCGTCTTCTTAATGCTAGGATTATAGGCATGTACTAACACACCTAGCTGTGGGGACAGCAAGATGGCTCAGCAGGTAAAGGTGCTTGCCACTATGCCTGATGACCTGAGCTTGATCCTTGGAACCCACATGGTAGAAGGAGACAACCAATGCCTACAAGTTGTCCTCTGATCTCCACATGCTTGCTGTGGCATATGGACCGCGCCCCCCAACAAACACACAGAACAGATGAAAAATATAAAAATATAGTCCTGGGCTAGGGTTGGTGGTGCATACTTTTAATCCAAGCACTTGGGAGGTAGAAGCAGATGAATCTCTGTGAGTTCAAGGTCAGCCTAGTCTACATACCAAGTTCCAGGCTAACCAGGGTTACACAGTGAGGCCTTGTCTTAAAAATAACAAAACAACAACAACAACAACAAACCAACATATATATTCCTGGGGAGATGGCTCACTTGGTAAAGTATGTGCTTTGCAAGCAGAAGGACTTGAGGTCCATTCCCAGAAGGCAATAACAAAAGCCAGCCATGTGGAGCAGTGGTCTCCTCCTGTGAACCTGGAGCTGTGGTCCCCTACTGTGAGCTGGAGTTGTAGTCCCCTCCCATCATCCTGGAGCTGTGGTCACCAGGCTCTCATGGTGTGCTGATGGTGGAGCAGATTGGAGGAGGGAGGACTTCCCAATGTTGAGCAGCAGTTTCAGCCTTCTCTGAATGGCTGTACTCCCCACAACAACCTCCCCCAAGGACCCAGGTTGTGCACTACAGTGGCTTTGCCTCTGTGTTGGGCTCATGCTGGGGACAGGGAAGGTTTCTGCCATTTGTAGATTCTAGTCTTGGGAGGACTGATTCTCTAGGCTGAGCCTCCCACCTCCCTTGATGACCAGCTATGATCTTGACTCCACACATGGTCCTGGGCACCCAGGCCCTGATGTTGGACCTTTCCCATTTCCAGGCACCAAGGGGTTTTCCTGATTGAACTTCTAGAGATAAAAATCAGAGTCTGGGAAGTTAAATTTTTTTTAATTAAATAAAATTTTTTTTAAAAATGGTATGGTTGTGGGGACTAGGGAGGCAAAGACAGAGCCAATCTAGTATACTTGGTTCCAATCCAGTGAGAGACCATGTGTCAAAAACAAACAAGGAGTTTGGTATCCTGAGGAACAACAGCTGAGGTTGTCTTCTGGCCCCCACATGCATGTAAACACAGGCATATGAACTGCACATACCTGTGTATCTGTGCACACACACACACACACACACACACAGAAAGAGGCATGGGGGGCGGGGAGAGAGAGAGAGAGAGAGAGAGAGAGAGAGAGAGAGAGAGAGAGAGAGAGAAGACAGAATGGGAGGAAATGTTTGGAAATAGATTTAGTAAGCAATTATTATTCAGATTACATAGTGACCTCTTGCAACATAGTAACTACCAAGAGAAAAACCAAACAATGCCCCCCTGGCCTGACTTTTGCTTTTCTTTCATAGCGGTCAAGGAGGACTCAGTGGATGTCCGTTCATACATCGCTCGTTCCTTCATTGATGGGTTTGAAGGCCCCTCAGGTTACAGCCAGAGGTTTGGGCTATACTATGTCAACTTCAACGACAGCAGCAGGCCAAGGACTCCCAGGAAATCTGCCTTCTTCTTCTCTAGCATCATTGAAAAGAATGGTTTCCTCACCAAGAAAGTGAAAAGACACCCACTGCCTAGGACAGCAGAAATCCCCTCCCAAATCAGAGCTTTCAACTTCCCATCTGAGGTGCCCTCCAAGGCCAAAGTAGTGTGGGAGAAGTTCTCCAACCAGCCCAAGTTTGAAAGAGACTTGTTCTACCATGGCACATTCCGGGATGATTTCCTGTGGGGTGTGTCCACTTCAGCCTATCAAATTGAAGGAGGTTGGGATGCTGATGGCAAAGGCCCCAGCATCTGGGACAATTTCACCCACACACCAGGGAACAATGTGAAAGACAACACCACTGGAGACACAGCATGTGACAGCTACCATCAGCTGGATGCTGACCTGAACATACTTCGAACTCTGAAGGTCAAGGCCTATCGCTTCTCTATTGCTTGGTCTCGGATTTTCCCGACAGGTCGAAACACTACCATCAACAGTCCTGGTGTTGATTATTACAACAGGCTGATTGATGGCTTGGTGACAAGCAACATCTCCCCCATGGTGACACTGTATCACTGGGACCTCCCCCAGGCCCTGCAGGATATTGGAGGTTGGGAGAACTCTTCCTTGATTGAGTTGTTTGACAGCTATGCAGATTTCTGTTTCAAGACCTTTGGTGACAGAGTCAAGTTCTGGATAACCTTTAATGAGCCCTTGTACCAGGCATGGTTAGCTTATGGTTCGGGAGAGTTTCCCCCAAATGTGCAGGACCCAGGCTGGGCACCTTACAGGATCAGTCATGTACTCATCAAGGCTCATGCTAGAGTCTACCACACTTATGATGAGAAATACAGGCAGGAGCAGAAGGGGGTCATCTCACTGAGCCTTAACAGTCCTTGGGTAGAACCCCAGGACCCAGGGGTCCCCAGAGAGGTGGAAGCTGCTGACCGGATGCTGCAGTTTTCTCTGGGCTGGTTTGCCCACCCCATTTTTAGAAATGGGGACTATCCAGATGTCATGAAATGGAAGGTGGGGAACAGGAGTGAGTTGCAGCAGCTGGCCACCTCCCGCCTGCCTAGCTTTACGGAGGAGGAGAAGAGTTATATCAGGGGTACAGCTGACGTCTTCTGCCTCAACATCTACACATCCAAGATGGTGCAGCACAACACTCCCAGGCTGAATCCCCCCAACTATGAAGATGACCGGGAGGTAACAATCAGTGATGTGGACTCTTCATGGACTACCACAGCAATGAACAATGTCGTGCCCTGGGGGATTCGGAGACTGCTGAATTGGATCAAGGAAGAATATGGTGACATTCCCATTTATATCACTGAGACCGGAATGGGGCTGACCAACCCCACACTGGAAGACACAGACAGGAAGTTCTACCACAAAATCTTTATCAATGAGGCTCTGAAAGGTATGTGTGGGTTCAGTTCATCTCACAAAATCTTCCAGATCACCCTATGTCATGTGCTACAGTGCTTTGGCAGGATGCTTTAATAGCCTCTCTTTTTGGCTGAAAGATGGTTCAGTCAGTAAAGTGCTTGCCTTGCAATCATGAGGCCCAGGGTTCGATCTCTAGAACCAACCTTAGGCACATGCCTTCAATCCCAGCACTCAGGAGGCAGACAGGCGGATCTCTGTGAGTTCAAGGCCAGCGTGGTCTACATAGTGAGTTCCAGGCCAGCTGAGGCTACAGGGAGACCCTGTCTCAAAAAGAAAAAACAGAAAAAAAAGGCACAGTGATGCACATCTGTAATCCCAGTGCTGGGCTGGTGTAAGGTAAATACTTGGGGTTCACTGGCCGGCTTGCCTAGCCTACCTTGTGAGTCCTAGGTCAATTGAGCAAAAAAAAAAGAAGAAAAAAAGAGAAAAGGTGGATGGCCCTTGAGGAATGACATCTGAGGTTGTTCTTGGACCTTCACACATACAGAGAGAGAGAGAGAGAGAGAGAGAGAGAGAGAGAGAGAG